CCGTCCCTTACAAAGAAATTCATCTCGCGGCAAATCTGGATCATGCGCGGCCACCCCGCGATCAATGTCAAGTGGTTTTTGACAGGGACGGCGGGGGTGGTGGCGTATGGCCTGCTGTGCGCAGGCCCACCAGACACGATGATGGGCATTGGTTTTCGACAAGGATGGTGGGGGCCGACATGTTTCCAGATGTGTGCTGTCACGTGCGCAGACGCTGCTGCGGCTGGAGTATCCGGCACACCTGGCGCACGCGGAGCACGTGGCGCCTCTGGCGCACCAGGCGCGCCTGGCACGCTCGGGCCCCAGGGGTGCCTGGCGCGCGTGGCGCGCCTGGCACGGGTGGCGTGCCTCGCTCCAGCGTCGCGCACATGGGGTCGGTGTTGGTTCCAAGTAGCTGCCCATCCAAAGACGACCGCTGAACATGCTCAGGCTCGGGTGTTACTTCTGGGTGGGAGTGTGCTAGACGGCTGCTATCTAAGGGGTGTCCTGATCACTGTTCCCTATTAATAAACACCCCCTCCCCCAGGCGACTGGGGGCCAACCAGGGTCCATGCCGACACCCCCCCCCACCATCCCTTGTAAAAAACAATGCAAAACACACTCTGCCTCCAAATTCGGAACATGCGCAGCCAACCCGATGCGCCCCCCCCCCACACCACCCCTGTCAAAAACAATACAGAGTACACTTGGCGGCGGCGGCGGCTGCGGCGGCTGCGGCGGCGGTGGCGGCGGCTGCGGCGGCTGCGGCGGCGGCGGCGGCGGCGGCGGCGGGGGCGGGGGCGGCGGCGGCGGCGGCGGGCGGCGGCGGCGGCGGTGGCGGCAGCGGCAGCGGCAGCGGCTGCGGCGGCGGCGGCGGTTTGGCAGCGGGGGGCGGCGGCGGCGGCGGCGGCGGCGGCGGCGGTGGCGGCGGCGGCGGCGGCTGCGGCGGATTGGCCCCCAGTAGCTGCCCATCCCAAGACGACTGCTGAATATGCTCAGGCTCGGGCCAGACTCGGGTGCTACGTATGTGTTGGGAGGGCGGGTGGGAGTGAGCGAGACGGCTTGCGGGCGGGGAGGGGGTAACTTGACTCCTCCCCCTACCCCCTACCCCTGGATCTGGACGGGAGGTTCCGCGAGGCGTTGGGGCGCCCAAGATGGCCCTGGCGAAATAACAAAAATCCATGATGTTACTTAGTGGTGGGCTCATGTTGGCGGCCTCCTGGGGGGGGGGGCTGATGTGCCCCCCCCCTCTTAGATCGATCTTCTCCAAGATGGCCCCAAGATGGCATCCGAGGCTCCCAGGAGTGCTCCCAGAAGGTTCCAACAGGCGCTCCTGAGGCCCCGCAGAGGCCCCCGAGAAGCTCCTAAGAAACCCTCGAGAGGCTCGAGGATATCCCGAGGCGCCCAAAACGCCGTCAGGGGCCCACAGGCCCGCCAAGAGGCTCCCAAAACGCCTCCAGGAGGGCCTACAAGAAGCTCTCAAGAGACAGCCGACGAGAATCTGAGAAGCTGCCAAAAGGCCTCTGGCCTCTCTGCTCGTCCTTCTACCATTCCTCTTCCTCATCCGCCTAATCCTCCTCCTCCTCCTCCCTCATCCCTCATCCCCCCTCCCGCATCACCCATTCCCCTCCTCCTCCTCCTCCACCTCCTCCTCCTCCTCCTCCTCCTCCTCCTCCTCCTCTTACTCCTCCTCCTCCTTTTCTGATTATTATTAGTATCATTACTAAGAATATTGGTATTAGCGCTCATATTATTACTCTTATTATGATTGTTACTAATGTCGTTACGATTAGCATTCATAATAGTATCACTAATATTCCTCTTATGTGAATTTACATTATTATGACTCGTATCCCTCTTCCTCCTCCTATTCCTCCTCCTCCGCCTCCTCCTCCTCAGCCTCCGCCTCCTCCTCCGCCTCCTCCTCATCCTCCTCCTCTTCCTCCTCCTCCTCCTCCTCCTCCTCCTCCTCCTCCTCCTCCTCTAGTTCAACCTCCATCCACCCCCTTGGGATATGTCAAATTCCCAGCCTCTATTCCACTGCGTGTTGCTCCACATCCGTGATCTGGACAACTCGCCTGGGCATCGTTTCTGGATGGACTGGTGAGCTTACGCAGTTACGCGAATAGTCTAAACTTTTCTGCTTGGGTACTTATTACTCTACCTGGGAGAAAGACTAGTCACGCCGTCTTCAATGATGTGTGCGATCGATATGTCTTGCCTCTGGCTGACATTCCTAAGGATACTCGATTTGTCAGGGCGTAATGAAAGTCCGCAGTTGGATAATTATTTCCTGAGGTTCCAAAGAAAGCAAGTGAGGTGTCGTAGGTTCGGGGCGTCCAGAAAGCGCAGGTGCGTTATGCTGATCTGGGGAGTCAAAACGAGCTTGACACCAAAACATTCGTAGGCTGGAGGAAAAGAATCCGCCGACCCTGTCGGCGTGTGCGAGGGGCTTGGCTGTTCGAATCGTCGTCTCCGTCGGTCGTCGCCTCCGTCGTCCCCTTTCCCTGCAGCTTCCTTCTCAAGCTCGTGAGCGAGAGAAAAATCGAGCAGTGTCGTAATCGAGTCGAAGGGAAGCCCCTTCCCTTTGATCCCTTCCCCAGAGGGGGGGGAGGGGGGCGTCCCCGGTGGGGGGGGGGTCCCGGGGGGGGTCCCGGAGGGGGTCCCAGGGGGGGTCCCGGGGGGGGTCCCGGGGGGGGTGGGGGGGCAGATTCGTTTTTCCTCGGGCGGCCTAGAAACCTCGAAAACACTCCAAATGAGGTCCGAATGCCCCAGATGGCCCCCGAGACGGCCCAAGAGGGCCCCGAGTCGCCCAAAGATCGGCCGAAAACGCCCAAGATAGCCCCAAGACCGTCCAAGAAGCCTCCAAGACGTCCCAGGCCCCCTCCAAGAGACCCCCAGGAAGCCCCAAGAGGCCCCCACGAGGCTTCCAAGCGGCCCCTAAGAGCTTCCCAAGAGGCCCACAAACTACCCCCAAGAGGCCCCAAAGAGCGCTCGTCGTCGTCGTCGTCGTCGTCGTCGTCGTCGTCGTCGTCGTCGTCGTCGTCGTCGTCGTCGCCATTCAGGGTCGGCGGCACCGGCCGTAAGGCCTTCGCAATATCGCTGTCCGAATCTCCATCTCCAAGAAATCGCTCGAGACGTGTCTGAGCCGGTGCCAAAAAACGTCGAAGCATATCCCCGCTGCCGTGCCGTGCGCTAACATGGGGGATTCATCGTCGTCGTCGCTGTCGTCGTCGGCCTCGTCGTCATAGCCGTCGTCGTCGTCGCCGACGTCGCCGCGTCCGCTTATGGTGGAACGAAAATCGATGAAGCAGGAGTGGGTGAAACGTAAACCAGACGAGAGGGGACAACATCGGAGTTTGGGGCTGGAATCGGACAAACATTATCTGAGCATGGTGTCCGACGAGGTGCGTCCTTGGAGAAAGCGTCATAATGAGAGCGGGTGGTGAGATAGCGTATGAGCCTACCTACGCTCAGCGGCACATATCCCGAATCGCTGTGATACACACCTCGGCCACCTCCGCACCATGTGAAACGCAGCAGGTGTGGAACCGCTGGAGTCGAAGAGGTTATGGGGATTTGCGTTGCAGTCGGGAATACTCGCCTCGGAGCCGTTCGAGTGGCTGGCACTTGGCGTTCGAGATCAACAGGGTAATTGAAAAATCGGAGATGGGCGTTGTAGCCAGAAACGTAGAGTGAAAGCCAATAGCCTCTGCGGCGCGGTGTGGTCCGGCTTGGGCTTTGGGGCTTCTGCGTGGTATACACTACGGTGGCCGATGGGCCGTGGCGTACCATGGAGCGCCGTAAGTGGGGTGGTGTCGTTTGTTTTCTGGTCGAGAAAGCTGGTCGCGTGAGATTTAGAGGCGATAGCTGCTGATGGATGTGGAGGTCCAAGACTGGAGGCCGGGAGTTGAAAGGTAAAAGCTGAAAGTCAGGGCGTCGGGGCTGCACGTCGGAAGATGGTGGCTGCGAGCTGTCCCCGTGAGGTCTGGGGTCCATGCCTGCCGCGTGGGGATTGAAAGTAGAAACGCAAGACGAAGTCAGGACGAGGATAAAAACAGGTGAGGATACTCTGGGATCTGGCGGCTCTGGAGGATGTATCGGGCGCCGCGGCCTTCGCAGAGCGTTCTGGAACGCTCTGAGAGCGCTCTGAAATGCTCTGGAACGGATTGATCCTCGTCCTAGCCCCGTCCGATCCATGCCTGCAGCGTGTGGGTCGAAGGTAGAAGTGTGGATGCCTGGAAGTTGGCACTTGGATGCTGGAGATCAAACCGTGGGAGCCTGAGGCCGGAAGGCGGAGGCTGGAGGTTAGACGCGTGAGGTGGGAGTTCAGTAGCTGCTGGTGAAACTTAGATGTCGAGGGCTGACGACCGGGAGGGAGGCGGAGGAGAAGGAGGAAGGGAGGGAGGGAGGGAGGAGGGAGGGAGAGAGGGAGGGAGGTTGCGAGCATGGAGAGGAGAAGGGGCAGCACGGTCCTCCCTCCCCTCCCTCCTCCCTCCTCCCCCTCCTACACGTCCATCCTCCTCGAAGGTGTCTGGAGGTCCGAAAAACACACATCTTCCTCGTCATCCCTCCTCCCTCCTCCCCCGATGATCCGCCCCGCCATCTCCAGGAGTGCGAGGAGGAGCCCCCTGGGGGCTCAAAGAGTGAGAATGACGTGCAGAAACCTCGAACATCGATCGTCCCCCCTCCCCCTCCCGTCCATCCAGCCCCAGCGCGCCACCCTACTCGCTGCGCCGAAGGCACCTGAGCACCACCACCACCTGCCCGACCAGGGCCATCCTGGGACCCGGCCATGGTGCGGCATACCTTGATGCCAAGTGCCGTCTCGTGGGTTCGCTGCCAGTCTTCGAAGGCCCCCCCCCTCTGGAAGTCAGAGGGCGTGCATGCCCCCCCCGCCCTACTTAGGGAACCCACAACAAGGACGTACGCGACCCAACCACGTACATAAACACGGCCCCCCCATCCGCGAGACCGGCCGCATGATACCAACATTCGCGCAACGCATACTCTCGAAACCAGCGTGGATGCATGTACGTGTACGTGTTCCTCTCGCCCCCGCCCTACCCAGACTCCTGGCCCGCGGCACGGCAGCGGGCAGACCTTGTCGCAGGCGCCTGGACGCGCCCTCCCCGGCCGAGGTACCCCGGAGGGGGGGCCTGCCCGCCACCCTGGCACCAGGGGGCGGCCCTGGCCGGGCCTGGCACGGTGACGTGCAGAGGTGCCTCCTGCGGAGGCCCCCTGCGGAGGCCCCCAGCGACCTCCCGAATCCCCCGAGAGCTCCGGAGGCATCCAGGAAGAGCTCCGACGGCGCCCTCGAAGACACTCGAGATGATGTTCGGCGGCGAGCGAAGGGGGGGGCCAGGCGAGAAGGAGAGGGCCTTCTCAGGTGGCGGGGCTTCTCAGAAGCCCTCGCGCCTTCCGAAAGGCTTTCTGTGTCTTCGGGGAAGGCTTGGGAACCTTCTCAGAAGGCCCAGGGACGTCCGAGCCTTCTGCGAAGGCCCGCCCCTCCTCATTTCCCCCTGGCCTCGCCGCCTAGGTGTACAGTGCCTCTGGCGGACTGTGGATGAAAAGATGAAGGCATAAACATAAGCTTTCGGAGGTCCGCGCAGACCTCCGAAAGCTTCTGTTTCCAATCACACAGTCAAAGCGTGGATTTAAGAACCTGCGGTAAGGACGCAAGACCCTTGGAGGCCGAAGTTGGGATTTTTCGGGCGGCGGGCGACCAGTTAAAACGGCAGGCCGCAGAGGCAAGGACACAAGGGCACCCTAGATGAAGGCGCGCGTCTTTACTAGGAGCGTTGACTGTAGTGCTAAGGCACGGAGGTGCGTTTCTGGCCAAAGCGAACCTCGGCCACGAACGGGTTCTCCGAGCTAGACCTCAGGAGCGGCAAAAAAAATCTGAGCCCCTCCTGAGCCCGAACAGCTCCTTACGCCAGCGCCTTGACTGTGCGTGCGCCGTTTATTCCCTTCTTCCACACTGGAGGCGGCCAGGGGTCCGAGCTGGTCGAGCCCCGAAAAGCTCAGTCAAGAGGGCGGGGGTGAAGGCGAATCCGCTCAAAATCGTTCACTGGACCCCCTGGTGTGGTTTTTCACCCAGGATCCGCTCTTAACGGCCCTGGGTGGGGTCCGAAAACTGCCCCAAAAACCAAAAAAAAATCTCCCTCGAACCCAGCACCTCGAACCTGCCCCCCCCCCTCCTGCTGGCCGGAACCAGCGGACACCTCAGACCCCCAGCCGACTCAAAATTCAAGACCAGCTACTCGCAGCCCTGACCCCGGCGAGCGCAGCACCACATCCGCTTGCTCGCGGACCAGTCGCTCCGCCAGCTGGCCGCGTTCGCGGCGCAGTCGTAGAGCGGCTGCTCGCCCGGCGCGCGCGCGGCCGTGGACCGGCACCAGGCCTTCTTCGCCTCGCAGACGGCGGTGGAGGCGGCGGCGGCCACGACGGCAGCGTCAACGACGGCAGCGGCGGCGGCGACGGCGACGGCGACGGCGACGGCGACGTCGACGGCGATGGCGACGGCAACGGCGACGGGGACGGCGACGGGGACGACGACGACGACGACGACGGCGACGGCGGCAACAACAAGGTCGACACTGCACCTAACCCCCGTTCAACGGGCAGCTGGGTCAATGGTTGTCCTTAACGACAACCCTTGACCTAACCCCCCGTGGTCAGCACCCCACCCCCCCCCAGCAACCAGCAACCAGCAACCAACAACCAGCAAGCGGACCTCAAGCTTCGCATTGAAAATCTTCTGGGCTCCTTAAGGCAGACCATGCACTCCCACGAGCTGAAACCATGCGCGCGCCGCCGAGCCGACCTCTGAGACGCAGACTCCCTGTGGAATCCCATCGAATCCCGAAGGAAGCCTATAGAACTCCTGGGGAATCCGATGGGATCCCTAGGGGATTCCTAGGGGATCCCAAGGAATCCTATGGGAATCCTATGGGAATCCTATAGGAATCCTATAGGATCCTCAAGGAAGCCTATAGAAGTCCGACGGAAGCCTGTGGGATTCCGAAGGATTCCTCAGCAATCCCATGGGATGCCTAAGGAATCCTGTGACACCCCATGGAATCCCTGAGGCATTCCTAGGAATCCTATGGAATTATGGAATCCTCACGAATGCTAAGGCATCCCTAGGAATCCTAGGGAATCCTTTGGAATTCGATGGAATCCTCACGAATGCTAAGGCATCCTTAGGAATCAGGGGGAATCCCGGGGGATCCCTAAGACTCCGATGGAATCCTCACGAATGCTAAAGCATGTTTAGGAATCCAATGGAATCCTAACGAACCCCTAGGAATCCAAAGCAGTGCCTCGGAATCCTGAGGAGTCCTGCAAACCCTGAGGAATCCTAACGACTCCCGAAGAATCCTCAGGAATCCAAGGGAATGCCTAAGAGTCTTACGGAATCCCTGGAAATTCCAAGGAAACCCTAGGACGCCTAAGGATTCTGTAGGAATCCCTGGGACTCTTTAGAGATCCCTAGGACTCCTGAGGGATCCCTGGGACTCCTTTGGGATCCCTTGGACTCCTCAGGAATCCGTGGTCATCCCTAAACACCCCTAGGAGACCTAAGGAATCACGAGGACTCCACAAGAATCCCAAGCACTCCTGAGGAATCCCGAGGCATTCCTGGGAATCCCTTGGGCATGCCTAGGACTCCTGAGGAACCCCTGAGGAATCCCAATGAAACCTAAGGAATCCCTGGGATTCCTGAGGAATCCCTAGAACTCTTTAGAAATCCGTAGGACTCCTTAGGAACCTGGGAATCCATGGGAACTTTTGGAGATCCCTGGGGCTCCTAAGGAATCCCTCGGACTTCTTAGGGACCCCTACGACTACTAAGGAATCCCTGGAACTCCGAAGGGACCCCTGGAGCTCTGAAGGATTCCCTCGGGTTCCCAAGGAATCCTGAAACATCCCTTTAGGGATCCTGGGGAATCCCTGGGGCCCCATTTAGGGATCCCAAAGGTACCCTGCACAGGCTATGTATGTGCATATTATAACAATGTACAAGGATATGTGTATATAGCTGCGGGAGTAAATGTATATATATATATATATGTGTATGCAGTCATATATATATATATATATATATATGTGCGCACGTCAAAAATATACATAAACATATATTGCATACGCATATGTGGAAACATTTTTATGAATGTATATGTATATGTATAAAAAATTGATTATACGCATGAACATGTGCATATACGTTAAGACTATATATAGATGTGTGTGTATTTATGTACGTGTGTATGTATGTATGTTAAAATACATACATACATAAATACATGTGTACATATACATAAATATGGGTGTACACTTTTGGTATATGCATGTGTAAATGTATATATGTGTGTGTTTGTATAAGAATACACATATATACGTATATATGTATACTCATATGGCCCAAGATGGCCCACAAAGTCTGGTCTGGGAGTGCGTGCCGCTCCCAAGGGAGACGCCGGCGTACTCTCACTTCAAACAATAGTACCCGCTCAGTGTTGTTAAACACGGTTGAACAACTCGACGCTCTCAGTGGTCCACTTGCCCTGGGGTGAAGGCTTTTCATTTATGTTTCTCACGGCCCTTCCTTTTTTTCCTTGGTTCAGTGCGCGCCGCACTTATCGGCAGTAACCAGCGTATCACAGCGCAGCTGCCCCTCGGCAGCATGCACCAGTAGTAGGTGCGCCACGTGCGCCAGGTGCGCCAGGTGCGCCACGTGCGCCAGGTGCGCCAAGTGCGCCAGGTGCGCCAGGTGCGCCAGGCGCCCCAGTCGCGCCAGGTGCGCCAGGTGCGCCAGGTGCGCCAGGTGCGCCAGGCGCGCCAGGTGCGCAAGTGCGCCAGGTGTGCTAGGTGCGCCAGGTGTGCCACGTGCGCCAGGCGCGCCAGGTGCGCCAGGTGCGCCAGGTGCGCCAGGTGCGCCATGCGAGCCGCCAGGCCCGCCAAGTGCGCCAGGTGCGCCAGGTGCGCCAGGCGCGCCAGGTCCGCAAGGTGCGACAGGTGCGCCAAGTGCGCCAGGCGCGCCAGGCGCGCCAGGTGCGTCAGGCGCGCCACGCGCCCCAGGCGCTCCCCAGCCGCGCCAGGCGCGCCAGGCGCGCCAGGCGCGCCAGGTGCGCCAGGTGCGCACTTGGCGCCAGGCGCGCCAGGTGCGCCAAGTGCGCCAGGTGCGCCAGCCGCGCCAAGTGCGCCAGGTGCGCCAGCTGCGCCAGCTGCGCCAGGTGCGCCAGATGCGCCACGTGCGCCAGATGCGCCACGTGCGCCAGGCGCGCCAGGTGCGCCAGGCGCGCCAGGCGCGCCCTGTGCGCCCTGTGCGCCAGGTGGGCCACGCGCGCCAGGCGCGCCAGGGGCGCTGGGCGCGCCAGGTGCGCCATGTGCGCAAGGTGCGCCAGGTGCGCCAGGCGCGCCAGGCGCGCCAGGTGCGCCAGGCGCGCCAGGCGCGCCAGGTGCGCCAGGTGCGCCAGGTGCGCCAGGTGCGCCAGGCGCGCCAGGCGCGCCAGGCGCGCCAGGCGCGCCAGGTGCGCCAGGTGTGCCATGCGCGCCATGCGCGCCAGGTTGGCCAGGCGCGCCAAGTGCTCCAGGCGCGCCAGGTGCGCCAGGTGCCGCATGCGCGCCAGGTGCGCCAGGCCCGCCAGGTGCGTAAGGTGCGCCAGGTGCGCCAGGCGCGCCAGGTGCGCCAGGTGCGCCAGGTGCGCCAAGTGCGCCAGGTGCGCCAGGTGCGCCAAGTGCGCCAGGCGCGCCAGGTGCGCCACACACGCCAGGCGCGCCAGCGGCTGGGTTGCTGCTTGCTGGTTGCTGGGGGGGGGGGCCGGGTTGTTAGGCGCAGTGTCTATCAACAACAACAACAACAACAACAACAACAACAACAACAACAACAAATACTAGCACGTGGGGACACACCGTTCTCACCAGTGCCAGGGTTTTCATAGGAGGCGGGCAATACCCCCACTTTGTGGGGGGGCCGGTTCAAGCTCTACCAAATTTCCAAACGACTCTTCGCCACCACCCACACCCAGCTTCCCGCCCTATGACGTTCGGACACTTCACTTCGTGGCATGCGGACGACCGTGGCTACTATTCAGGGCCCCGCGGCCGACGACGACGGCGTGCGCGCGCGAAGAAAAAACGAATGTGTCCCGCATGGTATTATTTGACAGGGATGATGGCCCTGGCAGGTGCGCAACCGTTGTTGCAGAAGTTCGAAAAAGTTGCTCGCAAAAGCCCGTTTGACAGAAATGTTTAAAAAGTGTTGGGTTTCCTACGAATCCGCAAGAGCGCGCGGGATGAAATTTTGACATTTTTTTGAAAAACCATTGGTTTTTTATGTTTTTATGTTAAAATCGCTACGAAAACTAAGGTTTTGGAAGGATTTCGTCTTGCGCGCGCGAATGTCCACTTTACCTTATTTTTTGCAAGGGATTCTTGAAGTTTGGTTATGTTAGAACAAGAAATGTCCACTTTAGCTTATTTTTTGCAAGGGAAAACCGATCGTAACAACACAACCGGATCCGGACTCCCCCGTTTTGCCTGAGACTTCCTCACGAAAATGATGAAAATGAGGCTGCGGCCTAGGCGCGGCGGGGGGGTCGTGCACCAGGGGCCCCAACAATAATTATTCTTTAGAATAATAATGTTCAACAACAACAACAACAACAACAACAACACAACAACAACAACAACAACAACAACAACAACAACAACAACAACAATTACTAGCACGTGGGGACACTCCGTTCTCACCAGTGCCAGGGTTTTCATAGGAGGCGGGCAATACCCCCACTTTGTGGGGGGGCCGGTTCAAGCTCTACCAAATTTCCAAACGACTCTTCGCCACCACCCACACCCAGCTTCCCGCCCTATGACGTTCGGACACTTCACTTCGTGGCCTGCGGACGACCGTGGCTACTACACTGGCGCATGGGTACAGTGACTTGTTGTGGTAACATTTTCTGGACGCTAGCTTAGTATACGACTTTTCCCCCTGTTCCAACACTGGACACCTGTACTGGTTTTTGGTGGTAACGTGTTCCTGACGCTAGAATAGGAAACCACGGTAAACCAGTACGACGCCGGTACTGTCTGTAGGTCCTACAATGATATGGACTGCTTTGGCTGGTGAGGCGCTTTGGCTGGAGACAGGGATGATGGCCCTGGCAGGTGCGCAACCGTTGTTGGAGAAGTTCGAAGCACGTGAAAAAGTTGCTCGCAAAAGCCCGTTTGACAGAAATGTTTAAAAAGTGTTGGGTTTCCTACAAATCCGCAAGAGCGCGCGGGATGAAATTTGACATTTTTTTTTTGAAAAAAACATTGGTTTTTTGATGTTTTTATGTTAAAATCGCTACGAACACTAAGGTTTTGGAAGGATTTCGTCTTGCGCGCGCGAATGTCCACTTT